TATATATATATATATATATATATATATATATATATATATATATATATATAATAGGAGAGGCAAAACAAGGATAGAATGACAAGTGTCATCTATCTATATATCTATCTATATATAATACCAGAGGCAAAACAAGAATAGGATGACAAGTGTCATCACCAAAAAAATCTCACTTTTAAAAAGAAAAATAAATAAATAAAACACTTAGCAAAATTCAAGGATAGGATGACAAGTGTCACTACCAGAAAAATCCTAATTTTAAAAAATAAAATAAATAAATAAATCAAACACTTAGCAAAATTAATAAATAAAAACATGGAGGACAAAATCTATATTAATAATTAATAAATAAATTAATATTTTATTTTAAAGAAAACTATTATAAAAAAGAACAAATATATAAATAAATAAATTCAATGTAGATATATGTAAAATGGTAGACTAATTTATTTTTTGAGATGAGAAATTTTTTGAATAATAATAATTGATACGGTCATGCTATATGTATAAGATCATGTAACTAAAAATATTATAATAGATAAAACTAAAGACAAAAATATAAACAATAATTTCAAGAAAAAAATAAAATATATAAAGATATAATTTAGCTTATTATGTTTTTTTAATTAAAATTTCATATTAAATACAAACGGGAAGAATTTAATTTAATTTCTTATTGAAAATAATAAAAAATAATAATTATTACAATTATTAGTAGATTTATGAAATATAATAAAAGGACTTCTCTATTTAACCTTTGAACTAATTCACCACCATCCATTTAGAAAAATAATATAATAATATTCGCATTATAGATAAGCACTAAATGAAAAAAGTTAAAATATTGTAGAATAAAAACTAATGTATAAAGAGGAGAATAAATATAAGGTGATTATATCCCCGCTTTAAATTTATTTGATAAAATTAAGTAAATAAATAATACTCAAAAATATTACTGATAAATTTAAATATCGACATAATTTGATAAAGTCATACCGAATAAAGTCAAGTTAAATTTCAAGAATAATAAAAAATTATATTCATTGAGTTATATTAAACTGCATATTTATTAAATATTCATATTACTATATACTTTAGATAATTGAAGAATTCTGTACACTATATTACACAATAAATTAACAACTAATATTTATTAAAATAATATGATATTTTAAAATTATAGTTTTATAAGATTAATATTCTGTCAAATTATTCGCGCATCGCACGGGTTCTAACACTAGTCAATTCTATTAATACAACGTGGTCATGGAAATGAATCCCAATTAGTACGTCTATCGTGAAACTTGTTTAACTGCCTTTAGTTTCTCTACAATTCCGATGGTTATCTCTTTTTTTATCATTAGTAACTGATTAGCAAATCATGAGTTTTACAGACTTTTCATGCATCAGTTATGCCAGACTTGAAGATATACAATTTAGTTTCTCTTGTTGATAATCATGGCTGAACTTCGTGACTCAGCATGTTTCACCTTTTTTAGGTTACTTTTTGTATTCACTATGTCTAACTCTAACAAACAAACTTATATGCTGTTTTTGGACATTTTACACTGTAGGGCATGATGCCACCACATTCAAAATACGCAGCTCCTTTTTGTACATGACCCTAGAGTTGTTTTATTCTAAGAGTCTTGCAGAGCAAATTATAAAAAGCTTTTTTTTCCTTGGATCCAATTGTGTTAGAATACCTATTTTGTTTTGCAGCTAATGTTTTGATATTTTGTTCAGGCTTTAGCTTTGGCTATCTCATTGACACAAGTAAATGGTGGGACCAGATAATCATTTCAGAATCAGTTGACTTCTAAGTTGAAGAATGAATGATATATGGATTTTTTGTACCTTGAACAAGGCGCATCCGTGCGACAAAAGAGTCTACCCGTCCACGGACGACTTTTCTTTCGTCTTCCCACCATTTTTCGTTGTTCTTGTCCGTTGTCTCTGCACCTCCTTCCTTCCCCATTAAGAGGTTCCAAAGTCTGTTGGTCTCTGGGTCAAGGTCCACTTTGGGCCGTGGCTTACGTCTTTTGATGGGATCAAATCCCTCATATGGGATAATAGTGCCATCTCCCTTGTATGGAACAAGGGCCTTTTGCTCCTCTTGAGCAGAATATTTCTTGCTGTCACTGATAACAAGGCGTTCCAATCGGTGTGTGATCATATCGACTGCCGCTGCATATCTGCGTGTTCCTTGTAAGCCTGTGTGAGACACAAGAAGGTTGTAGTTGTTATTGGAATCTAAGATTCTTCATACTTTGTTTAAGACTGGCACTACATTTGCTGGAAAAGAAAAAAAGGAAGCAATAAAAGCAAGAGTGATGAAATAGCTGCAAAAGGATACCTCTAGCTTTTGTTGGGAGATGTTCGTCACCTCGTAATTTCTTGTTGTCTCTTGTAAGCATCTCCCCCTTATTGAATAGTTCATTGGATGATGTCTGCCCCATGTTCTGCATCCGTGCTAGCATGTTATTGCGAGAAATTCTCCTCCTGATCTCTTGTACAAACATAGAGAGAGCTTGGGGTTGAGACTGAAGATTCCAGTTACTACTTGTGGCCTGCGCTTGGGGTCCATGTCTTTCAGTCAATTGTTGGGATATTTTCTGAGATATTGATTGTGTATAAGAATGGGATTGAGATGGGGTTGGTTGCTTTTGAAAGTTATGTTTAACAATCATGGGACTAGCGCAACGCCTACTGCCCTCACCATTAGCTCCACTACCTGGGAATCCATCATATCTGTTTATGTTCAAGCTAGTTGACTGGAACTTTACTGAGCCATGCGTTGAAGCTGCAGTACTGGAAGGTATACCGGATACTGTGCCATATATTTCAGAATCAAACTTTGTTTTCTTGTGAATCTCTGAACCTCCTAAATCAAATGTGCTGCAATTTCTTCTAATATTGTCAATCCCTAACATGTCTGAGCACACCGATCCCATCTGGCTAAAACTCTTAGGTTGAAACTCGGAAATGTGGCACTGATCTCTCTTGGATCCTCTTTTTTCATGTGCAGAAGCTGTGTCTCCCAAAAGCAGAGGTGTCCTTTCCAGTGCCAGCTGCCTTACTTCGTCTCTCTTTGGTTGAGTATCTTTTGCCTCAAAGACAAAGTGGCCTATTCCAGCTTCATGAACTGGCACTTGATCACACCCAAGCCGAATGCTGTTTTGGTGCTGATTAACGTTTCGCATGCTTAGACTTCTTGCAATGGCATTCAGTGCCTGGTTCTTTTTTGTAAATTGATTTGCTGAAGGAAGTGGCAATGCCAAATCTTTTGGCTTTTCAATGAAGGAACTGACTACATAAGGTGCAGTTTCTGTTAACCTTTTCTCTGCAATTTCTCCATTCTGCTGATTCTGCCCAGGTGATATTGCAGAAGCCTCCATGATAGCCAAAGATGACTCCATATCTTGAGAGCTCAGGTTCAAATCAAAAGACTCCTTTCTTTGCTGATGTTTTTCTGCTTGGCTGATATTGGTACTGGCCAGGCTTTCATCTTTTGTTCTGTCTTCAAAATATAGCATTCTCCGACATGATTTTGCTGTGTCTCCAGCATCAGGAGCTCTGTCCTTGTCACCAGCTTCAGTTTGTTGAGTTGTTGAAGCTTTTAGGCCCTTTTTACGAACATACTTCCTTTTTCCTGATGTGTTCTCATTTGGAATACTATTTCTTGGGGCAGCAGGCTCAACAACTTCAGTTTGTTCGAGGCCCTTTCGGCGGACATACTTCCTTTTTCCTGATTGGTTCTCATTTGGAGTACTATTTCTTGGGGCAGCAGGCTTCGGAGTTCTTTTGGTTTTCCCTTCTATTACTACCTTCGGCCGGTGTTTTCGCCTTTTGGGAGGTTTCAGCTGTGGTGTCTTGTTCAGGTCAATGTCTCCATTACCTTTGTTCTCATCATCGATCTTTTCACTCAATGATGTTGTTGCAACCAATGAATCTGCGACTCTCTGTAACTGTTTATCAGAGTGGTTATCTTTGGATTGCATAGACCTGAGAACATTCTCCTGCTTATCTTTCTCAAGACTAGAGCTTTCTTCTATCGAGAAATTCTGTCTCTCAAAATGCTGGTCATCATTGAANGTCATCATCAATCTTTTCACCCAATGATGTTGTTGCAACCAATGAATCTGTGACTTTCTGTAACTGTTTATCAGAGTGGTTATCTTTGGATTGCACAGACCTGGGAACATTCTCCTGCTTATCTTTCTCAAGACTAGAGCTTTCTTCTATTGAGAAATTCTGTCTCTCAAAATGCTGGTCATCCTTGAATTGCTTTTGTTCTGGTGTTACTGGTGCAATTGGGAAGAAACTACTTCTGCTTGAACCTGTACCAGCATCTGGTGTCAAGGATGAGTACATGGATTTATTGACCTGATATGGGCCTAGAATTCCATCTGTAAGGAAAAGAAATTGGATATAAACTAGTGATTCAGAATAAAATATCATGATATATGCCAGTCAAATGGGATATTTTCTAAGCTTTTACTCGACTAACTTGCCATCAACATGCTTATCTAACTAATTTTTATATTGGGAATGACTTATCTGATGTCAGAGAATCCCTAGTATATGGAATCGAAGAATAATTTTATGTTAATGTATTGTACCTGGTAGTTATGAGGTCTTTCTAGCACTATTGCTATACATAATTCCAATCGGTTCTCTTCTAGTACAATGGGGATTCTAGTACAATGGAGGTTTGTTGTTACTGGAAAAATAACATTTTTGTTTGGTTTATCTAAAATTTACCTGTCTTTCCTGTATTATCTTTTTCTGCCAACACAAGTTAGAAAGACCTCATAAATGGTTAACTCACCAAGTGGTAGGCGCCGGTTGCTGTAACAATCAAATGTCTGATTTGGAATAAACACTTGACTCTCGTTGAGAAAATTCGGACCTGCCTGAAGCTGCTCATATCTGCTTTCGACTTGAGAATATGAATTCTGAAAGGTTGATAAATCATTGAGGTGGATGCTATTGCTTGATCTTCCACTGGTGGAGGGCATATATGATTGGTTCTTCATCCCCAACAATTCTGCTAATGAATTAACTCTAGTGCAAGCAGGCCTACCGTGACCTGGTACATTTTCACAGCGGTTGATATCTATATCAGAGCTTCTGCAGTCGACTGCTGCATTATTCCACTGACCAATATAATCCTTATTCAAATTCACTGGGTTGAATGGATTCTGAACTGCTCCTGTACCATGAGCAGGTTTTTGTAAGAAGTTACCATAAATCCCAAGCAGATCCTGCCAATCTGACCTTTCCATCTGATTTCCTTGCATTTCAGCTGGAATAAGATCGGGACTTTGCAAAACTGGCTTTTGTGGAGTAGCAGGAACCCAAGGATCCCCATTTTGGATAACTCTATTCCCTTGGGGAGTTGAAAATCTCCCCAGATTCATCCTTAAATTGTAAGTGTATTCTTCTCACTGTCTAATTCATCCCTTGGGAAGACTTTTAACTGTTGGAAACTGACTTCGTTTTGACTCACAGATGAGACTTCACTGTAAAACCCACAAATGAAACTTTCAATCAAAACAGCTTCTACTTGGTAGGAGAACATGAATAAAAAACTGTTCTTTGACATGAAAGCATAAGAAATTTCATCACCCATCTAAATACAGGAAAATCCTTGAAATCTCGAAGTTTAGAGAAAATATCAGAAACATATATAAAGGCAGATTCCAAATTTTAGCCTCAAGTCAACATGCAACAATAACTGGACCAATTAACAAGTATCAATTTTCAGTATGTATATAAAAAATTTATTGTAATACATTGTACAATTATAAACTTATGCATTACAATTGTTCTTGCTGAGAAGTGAAATTAAACAAACAATTTCTTAGTTCTGCAGTTGTATGCACATCACTAATTCAAGTCGTGAATTTTGCTCTCTACAGTCTACATGAATTGCTTTTATTTATCTCTTAAACCTGTTTTTATTACCATCTATACATGTACCAGTGGGAAAATCAACAATTGCTGTTTAAAATAAAGTTCAATAATATTTTATAGTAACCCATAAGAAATGGCACAATCATCAATAAGAAAAGAGGAATGGGAACTATGTTCATATAGAATCTCATTCTCGAAAGGAATATATGACTGCATTTTTCAGTTTCTTGCTTTTATCTAAGTTTTTGCTCAGTACTTCAACCACCATATCCATACGCAGAAGTCATTAAAAAGCAAAGGAATGCTGATTACGAATTAGCAATCTCACATAGAACAGTTACTCAAAATGACAAGGAGGAGAAAGCAAGTGAATTGGAAGAAACAGAAAAACAAAGCAACAAATCAGAGATAATATAAATCGGAAAATCACAGTGAATTTGGGGGAATTTAATTCTCACAGCTCAAAGGTGAAGATTGAAATGCACCCAGATGAATGAAACCCAAAAAATCTTCACACAGAATCTCCAAAATGATTCTGAGTTGAAAATGCGATCACCTACTTTTATGGGTTGTTATAACAAAATAAAATTAAAGACCAGTTAAACATGCAAAGAATTTAATAAATTTGGGACAAATATTTAATCTTTAACAGCTAAACTAACCGATCTTTAGCTGAGTTCAGTTACCGGAGTGAAGTTGCTTGAGAACCAGTCAATGCCGGAGAGCCAAGTCAGTCTTGTTAAAAAAGAGAGAAAAAAGAGAAATGAGGGACAAAGAAGAGAGAGAAAAAAATATAGGAAAAAATTAACATCAGAAGTAGCAAACCTTTGGTATACGTTAAGAAATGTTGTACTATGTTTAGGCTGGTTCCATTTCATATAATAAAGGGTAGGGTGGGGTGGGGGGTCCAGAAACTTTGGCAAAGGCTACATTCAAAGCACAAAATCCTCATTTGCTACCAAGATTAATAGACGCCCAATAAAAGTAAGTTAAGATGACGATTTTTCTTATAGGAAAGATTTATTTAATGTTTCTTAATGGTTCAGATAATACTTTATTACAATTTAGTTATATTTAGTAACACTGTTTAGTGTTTGTTTTTATGATTTTTGGACCAAATTTTCTATACAAGGAGGAGTTTAATGTGAATGTCGTAATGCATATATTCTGACTGTTGGTGAAGATTGGCGTAATGTCTATCTTTTGACTGTTAGCGAAGATTGCCGTAATGCATAAATTTTGATCCTTGGTAGAAATTATCGTAATGCATATTTTTTTTCCGTTAGTAGAGATTGTCGTAATGCATATATTTTGACCGTTGATAGAGATTGGCATAATGCATATCTTTTAACTATTAGTGGAGATTGCCGTAATGCATAAATTTTGACCGTTGGTAGAAATTATCGTAATGCATATTTCTTTTACCATTAGTAGAGATTGTCGTAATGCATATGGTTTGACTGTTGATAGAGATTGTCGTAATGCATATCTTTTGACCGTTAGCGGAGATTGTCGTAATGCATATCTTTTGACCGTTAGCGGAGATTGTCGTAATGCATATATTTTGACCATTAGTAGAAATTATCGTAATGCATATGTTTTGACCGTTAGTAGAGATTGTCGTAATGCATATGTTTTGACCGTTAGTAGAGATTGTCGTAATGCATATGTTTTGACCGTTCGTAGAGATAAGTATTAACACAATACAGTCACCCAAATGAAGAAAATAGTCATGACTTAGTGATTACATTTGACAATATCTAATCAGGAGATACGTCGAACTTAAATCGTATTTGTAAGTCATATATTATATAATATTTTTAGATTTTAAGTAGTACTAGTATTAGTACCCGCGATACGCTAATATAAATCGTGTCAAATTGTGATTTGAGTTATTTGGATTTTGTACAAATAATCTTAAATTTTAAAATTTTTAAATAAAAATTATAAATTATCATTAGATATTAATTAAGAAGCGGGATATGAAATTATTTCTCAAATTTAATAGTAGATAACCTATTTTTCTCTATATCTGTAACAATCCAACTTATTGATTTTAATACTTGCATTTTATTTTGTTGTCAATATTAAAGAATACTAAACTTGTAACATTGTGATCTATTTTGTTTGAGCGGTTAAACAAAATTCTTGCAAGAACAAACTATTTCCGGTACCTTTTCGTTCTAGACTAATTCAATCCCTTGGATTGTTGATGTTAAACAAGCTAACTTGGTGTCAGTGGTAATTTTTGAGAAGTCACTATTGAATTTCACTTTCACATATCTCTTATTTGTGACATCTAATTTTGATCGAGGTACATTTTACTTAAATACAATTGGAAATTTAATTATTTTTTAAATGGGAAGAGAAAAAGAGAAAATGAGAAAGGTTGAAGTCTAACACATTATTTTATATATAAATAAAAAATAAAATATAAATAGTAAATAGTAATGAGAAAGATATTTGGAGGCTAGAAGTGTGTTTGTAGCATACAGTAGGGTGATTCAGGATATGTATGATGGTGCTAAGACTTGAATTAGCATGGTAGGAAGAGACTCGGAACACTTTCAAGTCATAATGGAATTGCAACAGGGATTCACTCTTAGCCCATTATTATTTGCCTTGGCGATGGATGTTCTGACACGCTACATTCAAGGGGAGATATCATGGTGCGTATTATTTGCGAATGGCATAGTAGTGATTGATGAGACACGAGGCGGTGTTAGCGCGAGGCTGAAGGTTTAGAGACAGACCCTGGAGTCAAAAGGTTTCAAGATGAACAAAACTAAAATAGAATACTTGTAATGCAAATTCAGCTACGTAACTCAGAAAGCGGACGTGGAAGTGAGACTTAATTCATGAGTTATCCCCAAGAGAGAAAGTTTTAAGTACCTCATATCAATAATCCAATGGGCCTTCGGGGTTGCCCAGTTGGTTTGGAGGACGGTTATCCATATGGATGACCTGAGATCGAATCCCTCCTCAATGTCTTCTGGGTTGAGCCTGTCGCACAGGGCTTGCCTAGTGCGGTTTACATCCCCTGTGTGGTTTGCAGGTTATTACACATGGGGGTTTACCCAGTGTGCACAACGTACTCACCACAGAGTGCTCACCCGAAGGGCAGAGGCTATGACAGAGGTTGTAGCGGCTGCGGGTTTCCCTTCTTACCAAAAGAAAAATAATCCAATATAATTGGGAGATTGACGAGGAAGTCACACATCAAATTTGTGTCGGGTGGATGAAATGGATATTTGCATTCGGGATTTTGTATGATAAGAATGTGCCACCATAACTTAAAGGTAAGTTCTATAGGGTGGTGGTTAGACCAACTATGTTGTATGAGGCGGAATATTAGCCTGTCAAGAGCACCCATGTTTAGAAGAGTAAAGTAGCAGAAATAAGGATGCTGGGATGGACGTGTAGGCATATCAAGAGAGATAAGATTAGGAATGAAGATATTTCGGATAAGGTGGGTGGTCCTCATGGAGGACAAGATACGAGAAGGAAGGCTAAGATGGTACGAGCATATGAAGAGGAGGTCCATAGATGCCCCGGTGAGGAGGCGTGAGAGGTTGGACATAGTAGGGCTGAGAAGAGGTAGAGGTAGGCTTAAAAAATATTGGGGAAAAGTGATTAGGCACGACATGGTACTACTTCAGCTTACCGAGGACATGACCCTTGATAGGAGGGTATGGAGTTTGAGAATTAGGATAAAAGGTTAATCGGTAGGCATACACGTCCCCTTTTAATGCCAGTAGCATTAGTATTAGTCTCGTATTTTCGTTTCTTCTTATCCACAGGTTTCTTTCACTATATGTTGTTTTTTTCGCTTCGGCTATTCTATCATCTTATTTTGTTGTTGTTATTGTTGTTGTTTTTTCTTGCTGTTTCTTAGTTCCATATTTTCATATTAATCTTGTTGTTTTCGCTTCTTTTTTATTTTTTCTCCTTTAGACGAGGATCTATCAGAAATAACCTCTTTATCTTCACAGGTAAGATTAGCGTATACTCTATCCTCCCTAGATCCTCCTTTGTGGGATTACACTTGATTTCTATTATTGTTATTATTGTTATTGCTGATTTAATTAAGTAATAATTTCTCTAAGAGGGGCAAGAGTTTTTAACGTAGTATAGACATGTAAATATTTCTCGTGATAAAGCCTTTCGAAAGTATCTCATTATAAAACGTTTTGATCAAGTCACATCAAAACTATCAATCACTAGCATACCAAAAGGATGTATATGTGGAAAAGTAAGATAAAGTAGAAAATATTACTTACATCCAAATATAATTTGAGAAAAGAACATTCCATTAAACTATTAAGGAAAAGACACGTTATTTTTAGGAAAAAATACATACTGTTATTTTTCAAGCTATAAATACAAGAAGGAAGTCTATTTGCTGAGAAAAGAAAGAGAGAAAAAAACACATTAAAGAAGCATTCCCGATAAGTACAATATGTAAGAACTTATTGAAAACTTTTTGTAAGCTTCATTGCTCTTTTTTGATGTATGTCTTTACTTTATCTTTCTTTTTCCTTTAGTTATCTTTCACATATATACTTATTTGAGTGTCGAATCAAGTTTTCTATGACGAAGGCTATTCCTGACAATGTCTTTAGTTTTATCTGTGATCTCTTCGTTATTTTTCTCCGCAAGTTATACCAAGGCTTATAAGTACGACTTGATTTGTTTTTTTGTTCAACTAAGAAGTACAAATAATTTTCTCTTATTTTAAACGTTAGAAGTCATAAATCATTAGAGTAATAATGAAGAATGAAATCATTCTAACTGCAAAAGTGAACTCGATATTTTATCCAAGTCCTGGTGGACATAGTTACTTGATAGTACTTGTTATTGGTGTAATGGAGGTGCGCATAAGCTGACCCAAACACCATAGTTATCCAAAATAAATTAACTCGATATTATTTGACAAAGTTCTTTTATCGATCTCATGTCCCTAAAATATATCATAATTTTTAAATTCTAAGAAAGATATGGTGGTGGGGAATAGAAGTTGAAGATCAAGAAGAAAAGAAGAATAAATAGGGCAAAAAGTAGAAAAATCAGAGATAGCGATAAAGTGCGAGGATAGTATAAAAATAAATAATGATAGTTCCAAGTGGAGATTAGTTGCTTCCTTCCTCGATTAATTGAAGATACGTATGCGATAAAGGTCTCCAAAAAACAAAATAGAATTTGGAAAGACCTGAAATTCAACTCAAGCAAAGAGCTGCGCTCGAAAGTTTAAGGATGTGCAACCGTTTTTTGTTTTGTTTTGTAGAACATTCTTTGATTGATCTAATTAGATCACAAATGCATTGAGTTTTAGCTCGTCAAGAATGATGTGCAGATGTTACACGGAATGAATGTTCCTACTGCCCCTCCATTATATTCTAGTCCAGAAATGTTCGTGTAATCAAACATAGGAGTGCCTAAATCATTTTGACTTTAGAAAGAGGCATTTATGTTTAAGTTACGCTTGTAACAATTAATGTATTTGTATCCCTTAATCAGGCTTGTAAAAATGGTTAATTAAATCCAAGATATATTAACTAAAGTAAATGTGATACCAAAGGCTTGCTAATAACATCAAAATTTTTAAACTTTTCCCCTTAAATGTGAGTCATTTTACTTTATAGTCTAACCAAATTATCACTTGTGTAGTTGGAAAAACAATGACTTGTCTATAAAAATACTGACATTGTGTAATAAATGAAAGGTCAAAAAGGTAAAATTATGACCACATGTGACTCAAAGAAAGCCCACGTTTTTTGGGCAAGATTTTTGTACGGAAACATATGGTTAACTTGGTTTACTATTA